AATACTGTTCTTTTGCTGGTTTTTTTTTCGAGTCCCGGCAAGGGTAGAATGGAAATAGGTAGAATTGCAGGGTTGGTACTGGAATTGGACACTGGATTTGAAAGGCCAGGACGGATAAGGACAAAACGTAGAATTTGGGAAGCACCCCGAGGGGCTGCGGTTCCAGTAACTCGGGTAGGCCCAAGTGAAGTCTGGTAGGCTTAGGAAGGTCTGGTAGCTTCCAAAAGAGGTCATTGGTGTTCAGGCGTTCATCTAACTAGCTTTCAGGTTAGATACAGGCCCAGTATTTGGATTGCAGACTGCAATGATGTTCAAGCGTAAGAACAGGCATTTCCATAGGCTCAGTGCCTCGGAAGAGCCAGTAGAACCCGGCCAAGAGAGGCTGGAGGCTGGGTAAACAAGAGCATACTATTCGGCAGCAATGAGAGAGCACACACATTACCTGGCAGTCATGCTGCTGCTCCGCACAGAAGGTGAAGTTAGGTGAAGCTCTGGCTGAGCGGTGGAGCTGGAGGGTAAAGGAGAAGACCTCCATGGCTACGGAGGAGGGGAGGGGAGGGTGAAGGACCTCAAGCTTGGTCATGGTGAAGGGTGGAGGAAGAGAGTTGAGGGAGAGGGACAGGAAGAAGTAAGGAATGTACATGGGAGACTTACCTATGGCTATGTTAGATGTTCATCTCCACCTTGGTTGGTGCTGCATCAAGAAGCCCCCTGTGTGGTACCGGCTGGTCTTGGGCTGCATCCGAGAGTGTGGCTATCGCGATATAACATGGGAAAGGCACAGTAGTGGTTGTATTGCCTTTTGAACATCTGTGGTGGACATGGATCACCTGCGATAGCTAGATATGTGACGGAGAGGAGCAGAGTACAATGAGGCTGAAAGAGAGCTCTTTTACGTGCTGGAAGTAAGGGGGAACACTCGGACATGACTCCTGGTCATTCACTCATTTGTTGTTTGCATTGATTGGTTATTTGAAGAGGTGGAGGAAGGGAGAAGAAGATGAGAGGGGGGTTTTCGTCTTCTATCCTCATCATTCTATTCCACTCCTCTCTTTCTGCTTCTTCTTGACTGCAGCACGTCGTGCATTTCCTCACATATGAGTTTGCATTATGGGCGATGAGCGATCATAACACAACCAAAGCTCTCCCTAATGCAATCCATCTTTTTTCTGGACTTCTCTGTTTCCGTCCTTAGTAGTGATTTGCTTAGTAATTCCAACTGGAGGGTCGACTCTTTCAACATTCTCCCTCTTCTTGTCTACATCTATTATTTTCCTCCTCCGGGGCCTCCCTAAATTGATTTTGTTTTTCCCTGCTTCTCCCTTGTCTGTCTTGCTGAGCAACTTTCTCAAAGACATCACCGCTTCACCATCATTGAGCTACCTACTACCCATAACCTGCATTGATATCCCTATACTACTAAAGGAAACAGCGGTCCTCGCGTGGGTCCCAACAGAAACCGGGTGGCGCCGCGCGGGACCGGTTACGGGCAGCGGGTAAGGGGGAACCGGTGGAACTCAGGGTGAGGGGCGAATCCCAGCACGCGCGAGCAGAAGAGGAGTTGGTCCAGCTGCGGACGAACCGGGTTGTCTGCTGCTCACGTGGAGCGGGATTTGTCGGGATGTCGAGGATTGAGACGGGTGGGGCCCGAAGCGAGGCTGAAGTGACGTGACGGGCGGGGCGAGGCGGGAAGTGGCATGGCATGAATTGGCTACCGGCAAGGCGACGGGCGGGGCAGCGCCCTTTCGTGCGGGGGGGGGCGGGCGGGGGAGAGAGAGAGAGAGAGAGAGAGAGAG